AGACATAGACATATACACATACACATGTGTATACACATATATATATATACACACACAAAATCGCACCCTAAGTTTAAGTTAAACACCGGACCCGAAACCCTAAATGCCCGAACCCTAAACTATTTAACCCCGATGTGCTCCGCCGAAGGTAACACAAAGCCGGCGCAGCCCCAGATGTAGCCACCGGGAACTTGCAGCACTTCATGCGTCTTCTTTGGCTGCGCCCACCTCTCAGAGCGCAAAGATAAGTCTAAGAATTTACGAGCTGAAAGAGCACCTAATTAATCCAGTAGTATTCCTTTCCAGAAGGAAATATTACAAAACGCTTCAGGTTGAAAGGTAACAGTATAAAAACATGTTCATTTTTTGAAAGGGCATACTATGACACGGAAACAGCTGCAGCCAGGGCGCCCTCCGAAGAAGACGTCGCCTTTGCCCTTGGGTAGCTCTCCGATCTTTGGCCCGGTAAGGAGCACCACCACCTGGACCCCAGAGCTTTTAGGCACTTCGTCTAAGAAAACAGCTGGCCGAAATAGCCCTTTGATACATATCCATATATATAGATAGATAGATAGATAGATAGATAGATAGATAGGTAGGTAGGTAGGTAGGTAGATAGATAGATAGATAGATAGAGCCGATCTACCTATCTATCTGTCTACCTATCTATCTCTATCTACATATCTACCTATCTATCCCTCTAATTGTCTATCGATCTGATCTATCTGATTTATCTGTTCTAATTATTTCATCTACCTATCTTTACTCCATGCTTCAATCTACATCAAAAGACCATGTATGACCTGGATTGGAGACAAATGCTGTCAGGCTGGACATTCGAGCTGCGGAAGGCTCATTGGGGGTGACATCCGCCAAAACGAGAAGCACGGCCTTATGCAGATACTGCGCCGGCGGCTGAGTGCCAGCCGCCTTGGCGGGCCTCTGATCAATAGGTCCGCCCAGGATCCAATGCGAGGAGGAGCCACGCAGGAGACGGCCGGCCGTGAGGTTTCTGAGCGTCTGAGGCTGAAGATGCGATACCGGGAGCGATGGATTTAGCAAAGCTGGCCGGAGGTCGGTCATCCACCGCTTCAGAGCCGCAGCGGCGGTCTTGCCATCGTCCATCCATGGATGCGAAGTCAAAGAGCCTTTCGTGCAAACGCTCCCAGCGGCTCATGCCCAGGTCGAGGCAACTTGCCTGGAGAGATCTGCCAGGAAACAGAGCCTGATGATCCGCCGCGGCAAGCAACCAGCTGCGGCCCACATTCAACTCCTGCTGAAGCTGACCACGGCGCCAACCACAATAGCCCGAGAGCAAAAGGAAGTCCTCCTGCCTCGCAGCTCCTGTTGCCACCATCTCTCTCGCCCGGCTGAAGGGGAGCCAGTGGAGGCCTGGAATGATCTCCTCTCCTGCGCCCTCCCGATGGGAGTCGCAGAGGTACAAGCAAAGCAGCGTGGGCTGCTCTTGCTCCGCATCCCGTGCTGAATGCATGGGTCCACCAAAAGAGACTTTCCATGGCTGCTCCTCCACCACATTGCCACCGAGGGTGGCAAGCAGCTTTCTCAACTGCAGATCTGCCTCCTTCAGGGCATTGGGCTTAGGCACACCCAAGTCTTCTGCGGTCCAGTCCGATGGGCGGTTCAAGATCACACCGACGTCCCCGCCCTCGTCCCTTTTTAAGATCAGAACGACTGCATTCAAGAAGTATTGCTGATCCAAGGTGAACTGGTCCCCTGTACGAGATATCAGCACTGAGCCTTTCTCGATGAGAGTTGTAGAATGCATCCACCCGGTACTCTCACTTGGCTTTCGTTGTGCACCTTTTCCGCTTGATTCTGATCGCTCCTTCTGCACCAGGCGTGCCCGAAATTCCCGCCAACTCGGCGTGAAGGTCTCCCGGTCGTTCGGTGGGCGCTTGAGACCCTTGGCTTCCGAGACGGCGGTTGCGCAGGCAATGCCGGCGAGCACCGATGCGGCGACTTCGCCCCATGAAAGGTCACATGAAAGCTCCGGATAAGAAGCCCTCGCTGTCCGAACTCCACGACTTCCCTTGGACATCCTCACACCTCTTGACGGTCGAATTGCATGCGTGCGGACATCTGCTAGTTGACCAGGCATAGACACAGGTCGCCACACAAAGACATCGCTGGCAAATGCCATGGCCGCCAGCGAAAGGCTGGCAAGTCCAAGTGGACGTAGCTTGCTCATGAGCAGCGTGGTTTGCATGAAACTTGTTGCCTGCTGAATGTCGGACATGCGTTCAGTTCTGAATCCTCTCGCATTACGTTGCAAAGGCCCAAAACCGGAACGGGGAAGATATGTCTTGAGCCTGAGTAGATCGAGTTAGAAAGCTGGGGCAGGAACGTCCGAGCAGGATGAAACAACTTGGAAAAAAAAGGTGGGGTCATGGAGAGCGAACGTAGTCAATGTGCGCCGGGCCTGGCCTAGAAGTGGCTCCAGGCGTTTCGGTTCCGCTCCATCAAGCCTCCAGGCTACAGTGGCTGTTCTGACTTGGTGTCGTCGCCTTCGGGATCTTTTGTTGCGCCCCGGAAAAACCGGAAACCAAACTGTCGCCAAGGCACTGCCGCTGCTTTCGCCCTCGGCCCTTGCCTCTGCCTTTTCCTTTGCCCTTGCCCTCTGCAGGCTGTTCCGGTGCTTGGGCCTCCAGAAAAACTCTGCGCAAGCTTCCGAAAGCAAAAATCTGGGGACCCTGGCCTCTTCAGGCACCGGCACCTGCTCTGCCTGTCCGTGCTCATGGGTTCCAGAAAAGGCCGAGTTTGATGATCGGTTTCACATGCTGCAGCTGCAGGCGTCGCCGGGTATGCTTGCCCGGTTGCTGCTACTCTGCTACTCTTGCGGATGTTGCAGCATCAACCAGTGACAGCTGTAGCCATGGCAGCTGTGCATTGGCCCTACAAGCGATGTTGCAAGTATACTAAGTATACGTGTGAGTATGTGATACGTTAACCGTCGCTGAGTGTCACGAAGGGCAAGTTTCTCATTATCCCCACCAGCCGCCATAACCACGACGACTTCTAGCACCCCAACTATCTTCTTATAATTCGACGACCACCGCCGCCACCGCTGCCACAATTGCTGCTCGTCGTACGACTTCTGCTGTACCGGTACATAAGACAACTCCTACTACAACTAAAACTGATCTCCGAACTCCTCCTCCACGGTAGGGGTAGAACTAGTCGGTAGGGGTAGAAGTCGTCGTCGTCCTGGTCGTCATGGTCGTAGCGGTAGCAAGCAGGAGTATATAGGACTAGTGGGAGTACAACCGTGATGGCCTGTGCTCGCTGCAAGAAGCTGGGGGGCCGGTAGACTTCGCCTTCGGCCAGATCGCCACCTGCAACCATCGCGCAGAGTTGCATGGCAGCCCGGCAATTGCAGTTGCGACCGCTCCGGAACTTGTGCCGAAGGAGCTGCCTGCAGGGCGGGATGTCTGCTCGGCCATGCTTCTCCTTTGTCAACACGTGCGAGTGAAGACAGCCACCAAAAACACAAGCACCATGAAGCCATCATTTTTGCCGGTCGAACATGCTTTTTTGCCAAAGCTCTTCACCTTCTCCAGCTCTTTGTTGGTTCGTATGTGGCGCCTCGAGACAAGACTGGAGGCTCAAGGCCCCGGCTGCCTGTGAAATCAATTGGACGAATCAGATCTTGTGGGGCATAATACGTATACTTGCGAAGCATGTGCAGGTGTACATGTGCAAACAAGTATAGCCCCATTCGGGGACACACACACACACACGCGCGTGTATGTATGTATGCATGTATGTATGTATGTATGTATGTATATATATATACACATACATACATGGGTGTATACATATATATATGTGTATATATATATGTATGTATGTATGCACACATGAACACATGTACATACATTCCCTGCATGCATGCACGCATGAATGCATACATGTATGAGTACATATATATATATATGTGTGTGTGTGTGTGTCCATGTATCTCTGTGTGTGTGTGTAAGTAAGTAAGTAAGTAAGTATCTTTTATTTATGTATATGTGTGAATGAATGAATGAATGAATGAATGAATGAATGAATGAATGAATGAATGAACGAATGAATGAAAGCATGTTTGTATGTTTGTTTGTTTGTATGCACGCACTCCATAATTACGAAATATGTTATTAACAGTATTATCATCTGGATTTGAGAACAAGCTATGTATACATATATATATATATATACACATACATATATACATGTCTGTGTGTGCATGCATGTATGTATGTATGTACGTATGTATGCATGTGGTATGTGTGTATGTATGTATGCATGCATGCATGCATGCATGTATGTGTATGTATGTATGTATGTATGTATGTATGTATGTATGTGTGTGTGTGTTTATGAATGTATGTATGTATGTATGGATGGATGGATGGATGGATGGATGGATGGATGTGTATAATATTTCTATATTTGCATATATGCGTGCATGTATGTATGTAATCTGTATCTGTGTATCTGGATGTGTTTGCGTGAACATACTACATGCATGCATGCATGCATGCGTGCATCTACCTACATAGATGAGTGAACCGGAACGAAGGTTGAAAGCTAGCCGTGGAGCCTCGGACTTAACTGGCAAGGCACAGAAACATCTCGAGCTGAACCTTGGCAGCATTGACCAAAAGGTTTAAGGCTTCGACTCTCGCACTCGCACAAGGCAGGCAAGTCTCAGCTGTTGCGTTAAATCCAACCATACTATCATAAGCCGCCACCAAACCCTAACATGCCTGGAGCTGTCCGGAAAGGCGCGTGCCATGGAACTACCCTGCCCAGTGCGGAATTTTTTCCCCAACATGAGCAGATTGCCAACAGTAGGGCCCAGGGAGTTTTGTTGGATAGCAACCGGATCCCAGGGAAATGCGTTTAGGATGTGTCTGTTTGGACTCATGTGTTTGTCTGGACAGGCAGCATTCACGAAGGCACCCATGTCATCCTTCGCTTCCACCGACTTGACGCGAGACTCGCCGAACCAGGCCTCTCGTCAGGCTGGAGTACAACCTAAGCCCTTAACCCTGAGTCACCTCTTCGAGGTTTTGCAGGCTTCGTAACTGTCGCAAGTCACAGAATACATAGGAGCGTTCAGTACTTCTTTTTGGACATGGTTTCTTCGCGGATCATTGTTTTCCTTTCAGAATCTCACGGTGGTAAAGTAGTATAGTAGATGAATGCTAAGTCGTAGGAGAAATGCTAGTACCAGTAGCATCAGTAGCAGTAGAGCAATGCAGTAGTCATACTGCGGAGCCCTGTTGGATGAGTCCTTGCACACTGCGAGCCTTTGGTATGGGCATACAAAATTCCCCTGCCCAACTCTTTTGTAAAGATACATCCTGTTCTTTCCTACTTTTCCAGCACGAGACTTGCCAGATGCGGCACAGAATACTCCTTCTGCCCCTCGGTATTGCAAAGCTTGAAAGGGTACCTTGAAATCCTAATCCTAGATGACCGGCCTCGGAAAAAGGCAGAAAGACCGGTCCCCGCGATGGTCAAGGCATCTTTTCAATCTATTCCCTGCATCCGAGGTCCTCCTGTGCCCGCTGCAGTAACATGTACCTGGTCTTCGGGTCCAGCTGTTCGAACTCCTGCACGCACGAAAATTCTCCGCTTCCAATCCCTGAAGATCGGAATCCTTCCCCTTCGATCGATGTGGCGCCCCGCCCTCAACCAAGGCATGAGCAGGTCAAAGCAGAAATCTGCCATGATGGAAAGTCGCGCGTCGCCACTTCAGACATGGACCCGTCAAAGGGAAACCACGCTGTTCCACCTTTCAGAGTGTGCGGCTGAAGCCTAGACACACTTAAACTTTAACCCTTTCTGCCGCTGGGCTGTGAGTGTCAGCCTAAAAGCCTCAATCCCAGAATCAAGCGCGGCTCCTCCAAGGCTACGGGGCCATCGAGAGGGACAGTGACAATTCCACCACCAGGCAGCGCATAGCCCTGGAAGCCAGGACACAACTTCGGAACTGCAGGCCCCTGCCACTGCCTTAACGCATCTAACAGCGTAGCAAGATGTAGCAAGGCATCATTCCCTTTTCTGCGTGCGCGGGAGGAGTGGGACAACCTGATGTCGAGCTGCTCATGGCTGGACAGTCAGGACGGACAGCCTGGAAGTGAAGGGCAACCAGGCCGCCATGAACCCTAAACGGCCCTAAACCCTAACTTTGTGACCTTCACGCAGCCCACAGGTTGGGTCCCAACCGGATCACCGAGGGTGGGCAGCGGAGTGTGGGACACGTACACCTGTGATGCATCTCGGACGGCGCGACGACCTTCTCATCACGGCGATGCCGCTGGATCACCGTCTATGCTCACAGTATACATGACAAGGCACGGTAGCCACGCCATCGCAAATTCTCGATGCAAGGTGCAGCACATATATGTGAGTGCACCCCTTGGAAGGTGGATCTGCTATCTCGGCGACCGGCACCGAAGCCTTCCAGTCAGTTCGACAGGTTGTCAAAACATGACACTGAGTGCCAACAGGCTTCTGCCACTGAGCAAGCAGCCAGCGTATTGCAGGGCTTCAGTACCGACGAGACAGACTAGACAAAGAAACGCACGGGCACGCGCGTCGAGATTCAACAAGACTTTGCTTGCCCCTCTGACGAGCCTGTACAGAGCCCTGGCGGGCTTGAGAAGTACCCAGCCTTCAACGAGACACGATGCCGGCAAGATCTGTATCGCCATCGGCAGCCATGAAAGGGAATGCGTCGCATGCTTAGAAGTGCTCCTTGAAGAAGGAGAAGTGCTGCACCGGACGTCGTGTTGGGGGGATCGCACAATGCTTGAACCGCCGCAGCCACCAGCTTGGAGGTTTTCAAGCACTGTCAAAGCACGCAGAAAAGATGTCCCAGCTCGCAGTCTTACGGTCACACACACATGTCGACGTTGCCCAGCCCTTTCCCCACTACACTGCCTTCCACTCGTCCGGCTGACGCATTCGACCTCTAGCATTTCGCCGATCGGGAACTTGCCTGGCCAAAGAGCTGGGTAGCCTTCGAAGCTCGTAGCATGCAACAACAGAAAAAAAGCCCCTCATCCTGCTGCTTCAAAGTCATCCTCGACACCGTCATCTTCTATTAAGAAGAGCCGAGACATCGTCGTAAAGTTCATCACGACAGTAACAACTGTAACGACGACAAACACGAAAGCCTCTGGCCGATGGAGCATTCGTCGGAGCTTCGAAGAGACGCCATCTGCTGCGAAGCTGCAAGATGTCTCGGAGTGGCTCATCCGGAAGTTCAGGAACAACAACCTGCAAGGATGTCGTCAGCCGACATCGAGTGGCAAAAGACGGCTAGCTACACCATGATGCGACAAGAAGCACTCTTGGGTGCCCGAACTCCCAATTTCGGCCTGTTTAGTGCCTAGCCCGTCAAGTATAAGAATTGTTAGAGTGTGCCGACTTGCCTCAGAGACGCCGCGGCGCTTGGCCATGAAGCCACGGAAGGGTAGTGGCACAGTGCCATTACGAGTACCTAGGTGAAACATCACCAGGGACAAAAGTTGTTGGAATACGGACGTGCGAACCATGTCATCTCCCCCCTTTAGGAAAAAAGCAAACCCCCCAACACAACATGTCGATATTCTCTCTCATCTTGAGACGAAACCCAACCGGGAATTGTTTAAGATCCCACAGCAAGCCGCTCCAATTTTTGCTTCAAGTTCTCGGCCCTAAACCCTAAACCCTAAACCCTAATCTCAAATTTCAAGGCGAAAGGCGGCGGCGCTCCCAGCGGCGGCTGCCTGCAGCTGGCACTTCCGGCGGTGGATGCGCGGAGGCCACCGACTCCTGGTTGGTTGGTGCTTTTTTCATACTACCAGTATAAGGTTTAGGGCTTTTAGGGTTTTTTTGCCTCCCACCTTTAGGGTTTAGGGTTTAGGGTTTAGGGATTTTAGGGTTTTTAGGGTTTAGGGTTTAGTGTCTTAGGGTTTAGGGTTTAGTGTCTTAGGGTTTAGGGTTTAGGATTGAAGACATGGATCCCAAAAGACCATTGGGCTTTTGGGGACCTCATTGCATAAGAGTATGGACCCTCTATCTAGGACTCTACGTTTCCGCGGCTCCAAGCAAAATCCATGGCACGCGTGTACCACACACGCGTGCGCGCAGAGGTACACGCACACGCACACACACACACACACACACCTATGTTGGATTCCAATGGCGGGCCTCCGACTGTGAGCCCTCGTCCTCAGCGTCTTGTTGCAGGTCCTCCACGCAAATAAAGATCCAGAACTTCAAGGAAATTGCTATCATCAAGCCGAACCTACTGGAACAGACTGTCCCTTGCAAAGGTTCGAATGCCCAGCCCGGGCCTGCTCACGTTCGGGAGCGACTGCCGGCTCGTCTGCGCGACGCCCGTCCGCCTTGCTCATCTGTGAGCGACGGTCGAAGCCGCAGCATGTGCATGACCCTAACCTTTTCTTGCAAACCGTTGCAACTGTCTGCCGTGCTATCATCGAAGATCATGGACTTGTCTTACTTGGAGACAAAATTAGGCAAAACCTCGGGGCAGAATCAAGCACTTTCACTTGCCTCCCTTTCCCCTTCGACGTTGGAAGCTCCAGCTGCCGCGCCAGATGCAGCACCAGCTGCACGCAATATATGCTGCTGGAGCCTGAAGAGATTGACAAACTATGTCAAGTTGGTACTAACAGCAACCCTCGAACTACCATCAACAGGCTACACTGACATCTCCACCGCATCCACTCTTGATTGGAATGGTCTTGGGGTGTAACACTCATGCGAAGAAACATTCGATGTTCGTTGCAGAGCGCCGTCCTCAGCTTGCAACTCATCATCTATAGCAGGAGAGCTGCTGATTTCGGAGCAGTCTTTCTACCTCAGCTGCTGGGATGGGAGGCTCACACATGCAAGCAGAAGGAACCGATGTATGCGAGAATCCATGAATGCATGTGCGTCTGATTCATGCACTCCGCAGAGACGGCAAGCTGAATGCCTCTTTTCGCATCTTGCGCTGAAGCTCACCATCTACAATTTCGCGAAACCCGCTCCTGTTCTCAATTTGCGAGATAATGTTCGTGAAATTTGCGCTTCTTTCTGAAATCCTAAAATCGATTTCGACCACTTTCCAGGGGCTTGCGCTCTCTCTCTTCTAGATTCTTAACACCTGTTGAGTGCTTTGCCCAGCTCTCTCGGCTCGCCAGGGTCCCTTTCGAGCGCTGTATCAAACTGTCGTGCTTCTTGCAGACGGCATGCTAACTTACCGAGTCCGTCTCTTTCGATTGAATGATTCCCTTCTTGGCAAGCTCGTCTCTCTGCAACTCGTCAGTCATCTCTTGCCTTCATTGAGTTCTCTGCCAGTCCAAAAAAGTTGCCGAAGGCCCATGAGCTCGACCCCTGAACTTGCCTAGCGACGGCTTTTCGACGTATGCGTTCCTCGGATGCCCGCTGCTGCGCTCGGAGTCGCAAAGTCTGCCACCTGGGAGAATCGAGGTCTTAGGGTTTTAGGGTTTTGGGTTTTGGGTTTTGGAAACCCCGAAAGCCCAAACACGACCCCGATCTGCAACCATCTGCAAGGGTTTACGATGTAGGGTCTCAGGTGCCCACCAGCAAGAGCAACCCTGGCAAGCAAGCCTTTACAGCGCTGCTTGAAAGAATCTTGCATCCACACCCCCCATTCTCACATTTCTTTCTGGGTCTTTGAAACTCTCCAGGTCTTCGCCTAGAATACTAAGCCGTTGAAGCCCAATATCAGAAGCCCCGAACCCTAAACCCTAAACCCAGAGACCCCAAAGCGCTGAATCAAGTCTCCAAAACACTTCAGAGTCGGCGGGGGCCCATCAAAGACAAAGACCTGAGCCGTTTGGTGGTTTGATTATATATCCTGTTGTTGCACTCTCTGGGACAATGGGCTTATGATGCAAGATATCATATACATATATATATACACACACACTCATTCTCTGTTGTTGCATGAATACTTTGTCACAATGCGATTATGATGAAGAATCTCATGTATGAATTAGGCTGTTCTTTCAAACTCCTATCGGAGCCGCGCGCTTCTGTTTATTTCCAGGCTTCAGTTTTTTCTAATTAGAAGGGCTGCACGAGCGGTTCTATCATGCTCAACCAACTCGAGCTCCGTCCAAGGGGCTGGTCTGATTTTGAGGTACAGCCTCAGCTTGGCATGAAAATGGGACTGGCCCCTAAACTCTAAACCCTGAGCTAACCCTAAATGCATGGGCGGAGCGGCTCTGGAGGTTTCATTTAGGCAATTTAGGCTCTTCGGCTGTGACTTGGAATCGACAGGTGAATCCGACACTCACGCCGGAAGACAGCTTGCAGATCCGCCGGAAGAAGCCAATCATGTGCGCCCCCTTGAGCATGTCGCCTGCGTGCCAGTGCCGAGCCATGCGTGATGTGGGGAGCACTGACGAAACGGAGCAAGCGCGCCTTTTTCGTCTCTCATGGCTTTCCTGCATGGAATAACCAGAAAGTCCACCATTAAAACAGACAAAGACACGCAATCGAAGCCAAGCTGCAGGAAGTGGTACATCCAGATGCTCGCCTCGGCCAGGATTGCCGAAAACGCTTGAGCCCGCTTGATGCCGCTCCCGGCCGTATCATAAGCTTCGGCACATCTACGGCGACCACCTTGTTCTCGAGGGCCTCATTCTTTTGAAATCTTGCGGCATCAGTACTCGGACGATCTAAGCCGAAAAAACTGATGTTGCACATACACTCATTGGCAGCACAAGCAGTGGAAAGCCTCCAAGCCAGATGAAGAATCCACGATGCCCAACAAGTTGCAGCTCATACTGCAGCTACCAGCCACGCCTGTCCTTGTGAGCCTGAACCTTCAATGCCCCGAAAGATCTGAGGGGTCGGGCAGTAAAGTTCACGCGCTGCCCTGCCGGGGACGCGAGGTCCCAGAGGCCTCCATGGAGCTCGCTTTGCAGCTTCCGGACGAGACAACCCTCGGAGATCGGAATTCGGAGGCTGTTTGGGGCTTTATTTTTTGCCTTTCGGCTTTAGGGTTTAGTTGTTCAGGGTTTAGGGCTCTAGGGTTGGGACTCGCAACTCGAAGGGTTCAGGGTTTAGACTTCAACATGATGGGGTGCGAGTAAGAGCTTGGCAAGTTGAGGATGCTGCCGCTTTGAACTCGGAACCGGAAATAAACAGCAAACACACTGTGTTTTCGACTTTTCTCTAGTTTTGGAAGGTTTTGACCGGATCCTCAACCGGTAAATCC